GGGGGGGGGGGGGGGGGGGGGGGGGGGGGGGGGGGGGGGGGGTCCAGCAGATTGGGTTTGGGGATGGCGCGGGAGGTACCCTATATATTTACCGTCACTTTTGGAAGAGTGCTCGACGGAAGAGGCGCGGTTTCAATCGTGGTGACGGAAGTCGGGTGCGGTGCAGTTCGTGGAATGCGGCACAACCATGGGTCGCGTTGTAAACATGCCTGTGCCACGCGATACCTACCGACGCTAACTGGCCTCCACACATCTTGAGGAAACCGGCATCCAGCTTGTAACTGTGTCAGGTTCCACGGCAAACGCGTACCATCGAGCATGCCTCCCGCCCTCTCCCTCACAAACAGGGTTCCCTGAAGACCTTTGCCCAGCCGTGGAAGCTACTCCTTCAATCTACATACCGTACATTGTACAAGACATTCAACCCCCTGGACCAATTGTCAAAGCTCGACTACTCCACGGACGAAGGGACGGATGCCACAGCAGCCACAATAATTATTTTCGGAAAAGGTCTCGACCGAGATGCAGTTCAAAAGCCACCACCTTCGCCTTTTTTATTTTTTCCGCAGAGCAACTGAGGTTTGAAAATCGGTCCAGGGGGCGTGGTGTCTAACGCAACCTACGGTAGTCCACTGTTCTCACCGCGTTGTTCATTGTTGGAGCGCCTACCTCAGCCCTGAAAATTACCGTAGCCCTCGCAGGGTTTTTCGTATTATGTAAACATACTGGATGAAGCATACAACCGGGGAAGTTGGGTTATAGGGTTAGGGTTAGGGTTAGGGTTAGGGAGGACCGTATATGACACAAGATAACACACCCCCTGGACCAATTATCAAAGTTCGATTACTCCACGACGAAGAGGATGCATAAACGAAACGATACATTTTTGGAAAGCTCTCGACGAGACGGTTCCAACGCCGCCGTTCTCGGCGCCGTGACTCTCTCTGTTGTTGAGAAATCGAGATTTGAAAAAATCGGTCCAGGGGATGTGTTATCTTGTGTCATACACGGTAAGGTCTGCGTCCCCCCTCCCTGTTCTAATTCCTCATTAACTTAATAATCGCGCGAAGGCGGTCCGAAAATAGGTCCAGGGTATGTGTGTCATCCTACGCAACCTATGGTAGTCAAGATTCCCCGTGAAGCCTTACCTGATGGCAGTAAAGAAGGTGACCATGGGGTTGAACTTCTCGACGGCCGGGTTGGAGACTCCCCTCGGGGACATGGACAGGGGCCGCGGGAGCGGCGGACAAACCCGCCTGACCGCAAGGAAGGCTGATGGGTACCGCTCGGACTGAAGCCCGCTAAACACGCCGCACTGTTCGGCCGAGGGGGGGGGGGGGGGGGGGGGGGGGGGGGGGGGGGNGAGCAGGTGGTGAGATTATGTGTTGAGAGGATTCATTCACGTCGACGGAGGGTTGGCTCTACCTACAGCTCCACATCTGATGTCATTAGTCGCACTTGACGGAAGCGCGCCACGCCAGCCGCGAAGCAAAGCATTGCGTAGGATGGGTACTGTATTACTGGGCGCCAGGGAGGGATGCGCCGTTCTGGCAAGCCTCAGTCGAGCGCCAGTGTAAGCCGTGATAAACAATGGCCCAGGTGTAGGCAAGCCTCGAGGGTTCAGGCAAGCTGCGGTTAATAGTAGCCAGAGGACAGTCAAGCCTCAGTCGCCAAGGCAAGCTGTGATGAATCGAGGGTGATGTGTATGCGTCTAAACACCGTCTACTCTCCGACGAGACTCGCCGGTGGGTCGAGTCCATTCAAAGCACCTCTCCTCGGTATCGAGAGTATCGCTGTAGACTTAGCCGCTCAGAGGCTACACAGGTTGGTAACGCACACAATGAAGTCATGGCTACTTTATGTTGGAGTCCTTGTCTGTTGATAGACTAATTCGCTGGGTGCTGGCAAGAAACACCACAAAAAAAAAACGAACCACCCGCGGCCAAAAGGTCGTTGCAGACCACCGGTGGCTCATACCATCACCTCGCGATAGACTCTGTACAGAACTAAACCGCAACTTCTTCCTCAAGGTACAAGCAATGGTCCATCTCTCCCTCACCTTTCGTGGGCTCGCTGGCACGGCCATCAGGTTATCCCAGGTCAGTGTTAGCGATCCCCACAGGGCCTTTCGAAAGCGCGGTGCAAAGGAGCCGGAGGTCGGACGACCATCGTTAAGCGACAAGGCCCACAACAGAGCAACACGCGCCCTTTCTGGGGATAAACCCTTGGTTTTACGTTCCCGCTCAAGGTCCCACGTCAAAGACACTTTCGGCTTCTCTTGAACGATAGTGTACTCGATACGGGAACGCATCCGCAAAAATTACACCCCCTTATTGTTTTACAGTCTGCGTGCGGGGTCACCATGCTCGTGAAAAAGATGGTGTCCATGAAGCGGGACTGTGAGCATGTTCCCTTCTGCGCGTTTCACAGCGAACACACCAACATCATAAAAAAAGGCCAGCCCGAGTGGCATCGCGGGAAGGGACGACGAACCGCGATAACTTTCTCACCCGACGAGAACGGTTGACGACCTGCCACAGCTCCACCACAAAAACAGCCGTCGTTTCTTCTTCCCCCTCCCCGTCCCCGCCTCCGTTCGTCCCAGGACTCCTATTCCCTGGAACCCTCGCGGGGATCGAAAAATGCACAATCCCCTCCTCCGACATGGTCATCGGCCGCTGCTTTCCTCCCTCCATCCTACCCTCCCCTCCGCCGTCTGGAAACCCTAACGGGGATGTCGATCGGCTAACGGCGGCGGGCGACACGGGTTGCTGCCCGAAGGTCCTGTGCTCCGACTGGTAAAAAACGGTGGGGGTGGTAGGTCTGCCGCCGGCGAGCAGCATCGCCGATCTCGCCGGCACTCCGGAGGGAGGCCGGTCTCCCGTCGACCGGCGAGCAAGGGCGGGCGGGGCGGGCATCCCTGGCATACCCCCGCCTCCGGGGGCCGGCGTTGTTGATGTTTCCTCGCTCGCTGAGACAGTCAACATCCTGAGACAAACATATGCAGTGAGCGCCCACATCAAAAAAGTTGGGAGTTAAGAAAAAGAGCCTGGAGAAACTGAAAAAAAATATAAGTTGAGCACCATTGGTGAGCTCGGTTGAGATCCCTTACACTATACGACCTGGTAGCCGCCATTCATAGCGTGAACCCTAGGACTAAGGACCCCAGCCTAGGCCAAAGTTCTAAATTAGATGTTCCTAAGTCCGGGCGCTAACTGCTGTGTATGCATGCATGCGTAGAAGGTTTTGAAAGCGGGGAGGGAGGGAGGGGACGAAGGAGTTGTATGCAAACGCATGCTTTGGTCGTTAGACCATTGACCTCGCCATCCCTACAATCTTCGGAGAAGGGATGTACCGGGTATCGGGGACGAGGGGGGGGGGAGGCGTGTGCTCATAGCCGTGCATGCTGTAGTCGTTAGACCATTGACCTCGCATCCCTACAAAGCCGGGACGGAGCACGCCGGGTTTCCACCGGACCAGGCTCTCAAATCACCAAGCGTGAAGCGAGGTGAGGTATTCGCATGGAGGGTGCGCTGCCAGCAACGGCTGTCGCAATATTTTGCTGACCTGCTGCAATGTGTGTGTTATGAGTGTGGCACGTCCGATGAGTTCTTCAACCCATACCAACGTTCCGACTCCAGCGCGTTCTCGCATAATGCCCGAGAAACACACACGCCAAAAACTGCTTTCTAAAGTGCAACTTTCGGTGGTACAGCAGTTATACGAAATTGCGGCGGCGTGATCGCACTGCTTACGCCCTTCACTACTGCTGTTTATGGTAACAATCATGCACGACCAAGCGGTTTGGTAAAAACCGCGCAAAAAGTGCCGGGTGGAGTCTACATAATAGTCCACCTCAAGTGCATGCCATTCTTTATCCTATCTACCTCACAGCAATCACACACAACGACTCACAGTGTGACAACCTCTTGTCTTTCGCCGACCACGGCGGTGTTGAGGGAGGAGAGCCAGCCCTTCTTGGGCGCCTCCTTCTGCTGCTGCTGCTGCTGCTGCTGCGGCGGCGAGACTTCGGAAGCCATCATGCCCCTCAGGCTCTTGTTCGCTGCGATCTTCGAACCTCCCAAGCCGTGCACAGAAAAGGCGAACAGGGCATCGGCATGTTCCGGCGCTCCCGGCAAGTCATCGAGCGGGATGGTGCTTGTCGCGGGCATCGTGCGGGCCAGCCCGTAGAAAAGACGTCACTTGTAAACGGTGTGTCTTGGTTTGGCAGCAGCGCGTGCTTGGTATCCCGGTGGTCGTTGCTGCAACGCTGCAACGCACTTGCACTCCTCACACTGAACCTATTTTGCTCTTTAGATCTAGTGGGTACAACACATTCCAGACTTGTTCTGGCTGAATCGGGAGGAAGCCAGGCAGGCAACAAACCCGAGTCACTCGGGCTAGAGGCACGGAGTAGCCGCGCCCTGCCTGTTGATGTTGTGTGGGCTAAGCTCGACGCACATCAATGACAGCAGTCACCCAGAGGGGGCCCATGGATGTACAGGGAATCAAATGCGGGTATCCTCATGCGGCGTAACCAACAACTGTTCGATTTGTCGGAACCCCCTTGTTGACACTGGACACCTACCTCTACCGCACACAAGTGCGTGTCAGGCCCACAGCAGCCAGAAGTGTGTGTCGTGGGTGGTGCGACTCTCGTGCCCCTGCCGACCAATCACTTTCCCCCCTGGTCTCGTGGGGTGAAGAGAGAGAGATCCTTGAAAGCGACAAGAAGTAGGCAAGCACACCTTGCTGGAGAGAAACATGACGACAGACCTCCGGCCACTGTTTATCCTCTCTCTCTGCTTGCTGTTGGACCCGTGCGGTTCGTTCTTGCACAGCAGTCGCGGTGTTGGTTGTCTTTCATGCCCTCGACTGGTTCAGCGCTCGCCACGTTCTTGCGGTCAGCGGCTCTCCGTAACGATGTCGTCGGTGCCAGCGGTTGGGCAGTGGAATGCGAAGCGAGAGCCGCCCCGTCTGCTCGAGAACTTGGAGGTATGCGAGTACTGCAATGACCGAGTTACCGCGCTACGTTGGTTCACTTTGCTCCCCAGCAGGAGTAGTACATACGGGGGCAGTTAGTCGGCGGTTTGGTGTACAGTAATCGTGGTGTTATGCGCTTCCTTGTTGCGATATCAACCAAGAAACATTTGGGATGTAGTAGACCCTATGATTCGCCGCCAAACATGAGGCGCATGGATCTCACGGTGCGTCGTTCACACGGCGAGCGGGACAGGCATCGAGAGCGAGGGGGGTGGTAACACTGCACACCGACTTAGCTATCGAGGCTGTGCTAGCGTATGGTTGGAGGAATCGGCGTGGGTTGTTGTTGTTGTTGTTGTCTTCACATCATAAACCGTTCCGGTCTCCGCTCAGTACCTTGTATTGTCCGTACTGGTTCAATACAGTCGAGGCCCGCACTTAAGAATATGGCACTTAAGAATATGGTGCTAAAAAAAACAATAATTAGGAATTTGCCGGTAAGAACACGTGCTCAGATTGCACCTGCAGTTAAGAATAAGAACGCACGCCTGAGGTGTACCACTGCTGCTAAAGATAAGAACAGGAGCACATCCAGCAGCTGCGAGATAAGAACATTTGAACGGGGAGGGGGGGACGGGCGGGGGGGNGCTAAAAAAAACAATAATTAGGAATTTGCCGGTAAGAACACGTGCTCAGATTGCACCTGCAGTTAAGAATAAGAACGCACGCCTGAGGTGTACCACTGCTGCTAAAGATAAGAACAGGAGCACATCCAGCAGCTGCGAGATAAGAACATTTGAACGGGGAGGGGGGGACGGGCGGGGGGGTGATCCAAGTATTGGATTTGGCAGGGGGGTAGGTGTGCCGAAGGTGGGTCCATACATACACCTCGAAATCTGCATTTTTTGCAGAGGAGAGGGTGGGCACTGTACACGTCGCGCCCCCTTGGCGGCTGCCAGGCCACGCACGTGCAGCGGGCCACGAGTTGCCTGCCGTGCAGGGGATCATGTCCCTGTCCATTCCCTTATCCCATGGGTTGTTGAAAGGTCTTGGCAAACTTGCAGAGTTGAAAGGACGGGGTCTGATTCTTGACCGTCACTTCGAGACGATAAAAACACATGTGAAGGCGGGAAACTCCGTTGCGAAGGAGCGGTGGGACGCCATCGAGAGCGCGTGGGGGTTGAAGCAGAACGGTATCTTCGACGAAGGAGAGTGGATCGCGCAGATTGATGGAAAAATCCAGGGCAATACCAGCAGCACCCGCCTGTCCTTGTCATCCCAACAAGATGCCAGCAGCGCAGGAGGTGCTGCTGCACCTTCTCAGCACCCACCTGCTGCTGCAGCGGGTACCGCGAGGAGGAAGGTGGATCGAGGGAAGCACGCCAGGGAGAGAGCTGCGAAAGGCACTTTAGGCGGCAACATCTGCAACGCGTTCTCGATTGGCAGCGGACAGCCGGTGAGTTCGGTTACATATGTATCCGACGCACGCTGTTGCTTTGTTTTGCTACACAGGTGTTCTTTTTATTATTTTATTCCCGATAGTCTGAGCAAGAGAAAAAATGAGAAAAAAATAGGTAAGTTTATTAGGCTAATGTGACCCAAACGAAACATACGTCATCTCCCCACTCTCTCGTGTGATTCACGATAATCTTTTCAAGGAAG